AAAACGGCCTGCATCACGTTCTTTCGTGCGTTCACAATCCAGATCAAACGATGATCTTGAATTTATATTTTTGTTTCTCGAATGCGCCATCATTCTTTGTTACATTTTTTCGCTAATTTTTTCAGTCTCTGATTTTTCTTTATTATTTTTATTATTAATATTGTGTTGTATTTATATATTTTATGGACATATTTGAGTCGTGATTATACCGATTTATACCACACAAACAGATCTGAGGCGAATTATTTTCCATTGTAAAATAGATGTAAAGATATAAACACGGAATGAACAAGAAATAGACGCGAAGATATTAGATATTTAGATTATCAAATCATCTCAAATAGAGTAGAGACCGAGTTGAGAAATATCAGAAGAAAATCAAAAAGAAAATTGAAAGGTTTAATTGGCTAATTAAATTTCATATAAACTAGTCTTTCTGCGGATAGTACGGATGCAGATAAAGATTTCTTGATTTTCGTGCCGTTCTCGCATAGACCTCGTAAAGGATTTTTCAGACGATGGAAGTCTCGTCGGCAACAAGTAACATGCTCCTCGACTTTACCCCGCGGAATTGTCTTCCCTTTTAGCGGCACAAATTTTTTGCGGGATCGTCACCGAGATGCAAGGTACCGCACGTCTCAGCCTAGTTTGGACACGTACGCTAACCTTGCCGCATACAAATTTCTCTTATTCCATTTGTTGTCCTTTCCGAGATCGTCTTTTCTTTTATTTAATGTTTTTCTATATCTTACGCATTTCTTTCGACAAGTAATTCTGTACTAATGGGTCATCATCGCCTGTTACTTATCAAATAGTTTCATTATTTTGAAGTAATTATTAGATAATACATTATTTTCATGATATGTGATTTTATAATATCGCTTTGTTACGTTTGATTGATATTAATTAAATATTCACGGTACAGTCCGACAAATCCGGTTCGCGTGGATACACGTGTAATTCTATTAACCTTTCGATAATATTCAATCCGCGGACATGGGCAACATCTTGAAATATATGAAATCAATTCAGTAATCGGTAATCGTCTCGGAATCCACGAAATGTTCCGAGATTTCAGCTGTTAAAGGTTCATCCGCGGTCGCAAACGCAGATTCGTTACGGTTATATTTTGGTGAACTAATGCATTGGGCGAGCCCAATTTAAGAAAGAAATTTAACTGAAAACTCGTTCTCGCGCCTTCAAAAAAATTCGCAACAGAGCGCGAGGGCATTAATTTTATTTTTAAACTGCGACCATTTTCAAGATGCACAGCCAGAAATCGTTCCTGTCTCGGTCTTTAAATACCGAATAATGATAATCACAACGTTCACACGTTAAAAATGAATATTTAATCTCGATATCTTGCTTACGGAAAATTTCTTAGGGCTTATCCGGAAATTTGTATCTTATCGAAATTGGTTAAAATATCTTTATATTTAGTTATGAAAACATATACATTAATTTATTTGCAGACTTATCGAAGTAAAACATCTCTAGTAAAGTTATATATAGAGTGTCCCATTTTAATTTCCCTAAACAAATATTTCGAAGAATACGCAAGATACAAAAAAAGTTTCAGATAAAAATTGTAGGATATGAAAAGGGACAAATAATGAGAAAATCAATTTCCCCAAAAAATCGATTTTTTAAAGATTACAAGATCACTTTACTTTTAAAATGGCTATGATTTTTTTTAAATAATATGATTCCTTTAATTATTCGGCACATAAAAGTATTAAAGTTATCGAAAAATCAATACTTTAATTTATGAGATATTTAATATTTATCATGCCATATTTTGACATAAAATATAAAATATCTCGTAAACTATTGATTTTTTGATAATTGTACCTTAATACTTTTATGCACAGAATAATAAGATGAATTGATTGGTGTAAAGAAAACACACAAGATCGGAAGAGCACACGTC